TCAAAGTCTACCTAGTGGAACCATCGCTGGATGAAGTCAGAAATCGTGAAGGGGATCAAACTCCGTGGGTGAAACGGCACCAGTATTAGGGTTTGCACTGTTTACATGCGGGTGGGTGTCGACTCCCACACCAGTCTGCAGGGGTCACCGTGACCGTGGAAGACATGATATCACTCACCAAGATCTTCCTACCGACAACATACTAGTACTTCCATGGGGGTAGTGCACCCCTGAGAAATTATCAGAAAACAATTGGAAACTATCTCGTAATAGTATTATAGCAATGCCCAATCGTCATCGGCCCAGCGCCACACTTAACGATCTAGGAGACACGGAGGGATTCGATCTGCCTGGTGAGGAAGGTGGTTCATATGTCCTGCTCTTCAGAGACGGCGTGTACATCATGGCAGCCTCTGGCAGACTTCAGAAGAACCCGCATGGGTTGATCAACATTGCCCTTACCGCGACCTTATACATCTCTAAGAGACAAAATGGGTTTGTCTCGAAATTAGGAACAACTTTCTCTTGCTCAGGGTTTTCATTCCGGGTCTATTGCATATGTCAAGATAGGCACTGATCACCTATACAACACGTTAGTTTCAGTAGGAAAAATAAATTAAGGTTTGTCGCCCCCAATGCCCAATTGGGGCTTGTGGATATATACCCACGCCCACACTCATCATAGAAGTCCTCTTTTTGAAGATAGCCCCGGATAGTTCACCAGTACCACTTTTTACCCAGGGTGGCAATATACTGGCTACGCGAACACATATACCAACTTTGCAAATTATCTTCGCCCACAACCCGGATGCCTTAACGGATCCTATAGACCCTTTAGTAAGCCTCCGTGGGGTTTATGTTAGAGCAGAGGTACCTAATAGCCTCTCACCTATTACCCAGCCTGATGGCCTGGACCTTGTAAGCTTCAAATACACTACACAAGATTTAAATAGCACACAATTAGAAAATATCTCATAAAATATATTATATATACACACACAGGATGGGGCTGTTCCCTGTCGTAGAAGAAGTCGCGAAGACCCTGGAAACAGTAGATGGATTCCGCTTCAGACAGTTATGTGACGTAAAACGCCAACTAGAACAAAACCGTGACGCGGAAAGCACTATATAAGAAGTACCATAGAGCTTTCAATATCGTGGGACGGGACTGATACTGCCCTTATGGCAACCAGCATGGGACTAGGGGCAGGCGTTGGGTTGTTGGCCACCATCGTGGCCGCACCTATAGTGCTAGGCATTGAAATAACAGCTGGGGTTGTAGAGGTGGCAGGGTTGGTGTTTATGTTTGCATCCGACCCAGACTGCATCGTAAAAGCGTTGAAACCACGACGAGATCAGGGTTCTGGCGAAACAAAGCTGAACACAGTAAGTGAGCGTATTTCCACAGCACTCACTGACAGTAAGATCTCAGAGGAGGAATTTCGTTCAATCCTCTCTGAACTCGACAAGAAATCCGGTCCAAGTCTCGTAAGTCTGCTATCAGCGAAGACGAGAAAAAATTACATAGATCAGGGGGTACGGAAAGCCCAGCAAGCCTTTATTACAAACACCAAAAGAGATCATAGGCGATTCACATTAAAACTGTTTCATTGAGGTCAATGCGACATGAGTGTCAAAGTGCTAGTTCGCGGTCATAGCGACACTATTGTGTCACGTGGGGTCAGGAAGGTAACTTTGGGATTCAAAGTGAGTATATACAATGGTGGCGAGATCTAAGGGCCCGACAAAAGCTTTATTTGTGAAATAAAGCTTTACAGAGCTTTGTTGGACTTGGTCTCCGGACAATCTTTGTATATACTACTCGCTTCCCAGTCGAACCCACCAAGAACTTTCTGGAGAATATGTAGGCTCCCCAACACTGCAGCCTTCTGCATTACCCAGAGTGTCAGAAGGGCTGTGCTCCGGTGGAGAACCGGACACTATCTGATCTGCAGCAAGAGATCAGGAGGTACCAAACCAAAGGGCACCGAGAACAATGGGGGTCAGACGTCAGGTATGCTTCGACATTTCAAATGCGCATATTTAGCATGCTTTTCCCGAATCTTGCCTATCACATTGCTTTCAAAAGGGACAGAAAGGAATTCAATGATATAGATAAATTCATTATCTTCATCAAAAGGACAAAAGATCAGTTTTGGGGATGCTGGAATTGCTTCCTCAAGAGCTGTCTATGGGCCTATTCAAAGACGTTTAAAAGCATAATTTTCCATGACGCCCTGGACGTGTTTAGGGTCGTATCATGGATGGACCTCGAGTCAAAGCAATGGCCACAGGCATGGCAGAAGACGATAGCAAGCATGTCGGAAACAGCCCCATCGCTATATTCCATGAAAAGCGAATTGATGCTACTAAAATGGAATGGATGTTCCCATTCTGCAATTCAAGGAAATTATACACTGAACTAGTACAAGACTTAGTGTGCTCTATTACGTGTAAATTTGTTTTGAATCGGATTTATTCGTTTTTGATCAACAAAACCGCGGAATATCATTTTAAATTAAGAGATTTAAAGAAGCGCTCAATTTCCGTGATTAACTTGAGTAAACCCGAACAATTATTTCGGATTACTCACATTTCTTCGGATTACTCCTTATTTTCCACAGCCATGTTTATTGGTCATTTTGCGTTTCCAAAGAGACTAAGTAGCATTGGCTGAAAGTTCATTACTGATTAATCCAAGTGTATAATGTAGAGAAAGTTCACCTCAGAGACAAATTCCAGCCTGATTACAACGTTGGAGGCGTTTTGTCAGCAAGTCAACAAGCCACAGCCACCATATTCCGTTAGTAACCTCCTACGACAACCATGGGTCACTGAAGATCAATTCTAGCTTGGGATCTTCACGGGATAAATAAAATGGGAGTAGTGTATGACAATGTCATCATCAACGGCTGGCATTTCAGGAACCACCGCTACAAATCCCTTTCCACACATCAATTTCCACGCATGAGAGAGTCATTTTGTGCACATGCGAGATTATCCATTTCAAGTCGGAGTTTAGCATGTCCCAGCATCCACAACACTATCACGTAAACTAGTACAAAACTTAGTGCGCTCTATTACGTGTAAATTTGTTTTGAATTGAAAGTGTATCAGTTTATTCACGTTTTTGATCAACAAAAACACAGAATATGTTTAAATTAGAGATTTATAGAAAACTCAATTTCCGCATTAACTATGAAGTAAAGCCGAACAATTATTTCGGATTACTCACATTTCTTCGGATTACTCCAAATTTTCCACAGCCATGTTTATTAGCCATTTTGAATTGCCAAAAGAGGCTAAGTACCATTGGCTGAAAGTTCATTTAATTCTAACCCGGATCTTCACGAGATAAATAAATGGGAGTGGTGTAAGACAATAAATATCAACGGCTGGCTAGAACCACACAAATCCATTCACATCAATTCACGCAGAGAGTCATTTTGTGCACATGCGAATGTCCATTCCAAGTCGAGTTTAACATGTCCCAGCATCACAACACTATCCACATAAACAAGTATGTAGAATCGCAGATGAAGGTTTTATCCGTCTTACTAACAGATATCCTATTACTGGATTCCGTGGTATCGATATGCTGTTACTTATAATGAAAACATGGTCTAAGAAGATATTCCTTGGGTCGTACTAAGTAGTCATTTATCCTACAGTGGAATCGGTCAAATCAGACTCTGTGTAATCCGGTGTTCTCCATAATCCGGACTACTCTCTGAGTTACGCCAAAATTGTTCTTAATTTATCATTTAAGCGTGCTTTATAATCCGGACCCTCTCAATTACGGATTACAGACTAAAATAACAGTACCGACAATCAACTTGCAATGAGAACAATGCTTTGTGACCCGGACGTAGCTGACTAAAATAACAGTACCGACAATCAACTTGCTATGAAAACAATGCTTTTGTGACCCGGACGTAGCTGACTAAAATAACAGTCCCGACACTTTTAAACTTGCTATGAGAACAATGCTTTGTAATCCTGTCGCAGCTGAATAAAAATAACAGTCCGTTGAATAAACATCTCTGTTACTTCTGTTCACAATGGTTGACTAAAAACATTGTATTACGTGGACATTTACAGAGGCAGAAGCAGTTCATGTTAACAGACTTCTTCCAATGAAAGTATAAATAATATATTGAGTATAAATAAAAAACAAAACACAACGATTCAAATTGTTGAATGTCCTTAACAAAGGGAGGTAACTCATCGTGGCAGAGAACACGGTAACGGACAAAAGTAACTGTTGTCTAATCCGGACTGCTTTACAATTCCAGATTTCACCGTAATAGACAGATTCCAGTGTATTTCTGTACTGTTTATATTGGTATAAATTAAGCTTTAAAGAAACCGTACTACTGTTTTGACAAATATTGATTTTTGAAGTTATATTTAGAATATTAATATAGATACTGTTCAAGCATTAATAGGGATCGTGGAATGTTTCAAGTTAAACGTTTGAGGCTTGAATGACATAAAATCATGAATAACGAATGACAGAAAGCACATGCAGTGATTGAGTCAACCGTGATGCTTGAGAGCATGGCGGGCAGGTGCACTTGCATGTTTCGAAGGTTGTCAGTATTGTAGCTGCAGTGTGTGCTAGGGATTCACAGACACGCTACTGAGCCCATAGTTGTGACTGCTGTTGTCTCACCACCTGTATGTTCAGGCGTGGCCCTCAACGACCACCTAGGTTTAACGTAAAGGCACTTCAGGGACAAATCCATTGTTATCAGATCAACTGTCTCTCTAACAGTACTATGTGATTCGTTGTAAAGCATCATGTTACTTATGTCATTAAAAACGCAATGGTCCTTGGCAAATATTGTACAGTATTCACAGATACATACATTAATATTATGACACTGGCACTCGAGCAACAGAAGGGTCGACAATCGAAATCTCCGTAAATACAGTTATGTGGGCACTGTATTGACCTGTATTAGTGGTATTGTCACCTACATATAGCTGTTCATATCTTCCAGATTACCTGGTTCAGTGCGTGGACTCCCCCTATGAGACTCGTGAATCTACTGTTAACCGTAACATGGAGATGACATATGAGAAGTACAGATCAGAAAAAAGACCTGTTTTGGTCTGATATACCTCACGAAAAGGCCACAATGGTGACCAAGAAGAAGAAAACTAAACGCAAGAACATGCACTTGCGGACACCTAAACTGTGGGGCAGTTTAATGCAAACACCACGACATGCATTCAGGAAGAAGAAAAAAGTCACAAGTCACCATGTCCCAAAGGTACACACACACACGCACGCACGCACGCACGCACGCACGCACGCACGCGCACACACACACACACACATACATACATACATACTTCAATTCATCCGTGCAGGTGGATATGGGGTTGAAACGACGGCGAGTCGTCAAATTGCACTTAGCTGTTGATATGTGTTATGTCGACAGTAGTGAGTGAGTGAATTAATATTTAACGTCACATCGACAATATTTCAGCCATACCGTGACGTGAACAATCTATACATTAAACCTAAATAAACCTTTACCATAAAACGCTGTCGTCAAAGGACAGTTGTAATTCCTCAGTATGAATTCATTTTTCAACATATTTGATGTAAAAAGATATTCTATTCTTCATATGGCGCAGAAATTTGGGGTTTACATACACTTGGAAAATTAGAAATGGTACATTTGTATGCCTCTACAAAGTTTTTGGGTGTTAAACAAACACACCCAAATATCATGATCTATGTAGAATGTGGCAGGTTTCCTTAATATCTATATATACTCTATTGAAAGCAATTCGGTATTGGATACATTTATTAAACATGCCAACCTAACCAAAAATGTTATAGAAAGAGTGCTTTTATATGATAGAAATGGACAAAAACTGTATGACTGATATAAATCAATTATTATTTTCTACTGGATTTGGATATATTTGGCATAAAAGAAATTGAACACATATTCATCAAATCATTTACTCAAAGACTAAAAGATATGTATTTTCAAACTGGCAAAAAGATTATCTACTTCCGCAATATCCATACCTGTCATGTTTAAATGTAAAAAGCATAGGGTAAGTTTAAGATGCTCATCTCATGAACTTTTAATTGAGAAAGGTAGATATGTAAATACGAACAGAGAACATAGAACTTGTCAGTTATGTTATTCAAATGCAATTGAAGACGAGTATCATTTTCCTCTTGTAGGCCCTAACAACAATAATCTTCTAAGCAAATATATATATGCCCATCAAAACAGGCTTAAGTTTTCACTACTTCTAAACAGTTCAAATACTGAAGAAATTGAAAACCTGTCCATGTATATTTTCTACGCATTTGTACATAGAAAAGCGAATTTGTTCATTGAACGTGTATAAAGCAATTGTACATAGTGTACTATATGAGGTACCCTGAGGTATAACATTTGGAGTACCATGAATAATAAAATTTATCACCAAACTGTGTTCCACAGGAACATTTGGTTCAAAAAACCATGTTTTCATAGATACAATGTGACAATGCTATGATCCAATTCAATGCTATGACATCGCTGCACTGCAAATGTAATGGCAGTACCATGTTCAGAGATGTACATTTTACATCGATGAAGGTGATTTTGATGATAAATAGAATCTCACCCGTGTCTTCTGATATCAAATATATCAACACTCGTTGTTAAAATATCCTTTTTGTGACTGACTCGTGTTTGTTGTTTAACGCGCCCCTACCTGAGAGGCATGATCGACATTGAAACTGACCGTGCTTGTTTGAGATTTGATTGAAAATTGAGATTTGATTAATTCTTGTCATATAGCTGACATATTGCGCGATGAGGAGTTAGCCAAACATTTGTGTCAAACGTTGTGAAATTACCATTCACATTTCAGAAAATCTGTTCAGAAGAAGACACATCATTCCTCGGTCATGTTAGGGATGTGGTATATAGACCAACTGATGATGACACATTCCCTTTGTATGTGAAATCAAGAAACACATACAAAATATGTCTGAAAGGAAAACTGAATATGGTTCAGCTCAAAGAGGCTATTGAATACAAAGACAGCATTCCTGCAGATCTACAGATGCTGACTCATCATGGCAAACTGATACGGCCATCCACACTGAAGAACGTGCAGCCAAATGACACAATCCATGTCATTGTAAGGAACAAAGGAGGAACGAAAGGCGCTGAAAAGAAACCATTACTTAAGAAAAAAGGTGATTGATGCACTTCTTCATGGCTGAAATTTCACATGCTTTTTCGACCAATGAACTCCAACATAAAATTTGTTTCTGAAATTCCATTTCATTTAAATACCTTTAAACGATTTGGATTTTTTTCTTATTCAAATGGAATAGATGTAAACGTTGCTTAGAAAGTACGAGGGTCGATCAAAAAGTACCTAGCCTAACTATATTCTCGATGTCCAATGTTTGAAAAGCTTCCATTATATTTCGAAGGAATCGTTACCAAAGCCATATCCAAACTTGAGTAATGTGTGGGTAATGTGGTTAACCAGATATTTGTCATCACAACACATTGGTGTACAGTATTTCTAACAATATTGCAGAAAATGAAAACGGTAAGCCCTCAGATAATGCCAGATAAAATATGTTCAGTATAGTATTGGATGACTTCCCGTCATGATCAACAATCAAAGATTTGGACTGCCTGATTTATACTTTGTCGGGGGCTATCTCTTAAGGACACACCCATTTTAATCTTCAAAAACATTGTGTCCAGATATTCAAGCTGGCACTTTTTACAATGTATTGTGAGCTGACACTTGAGTGACCATTCAGTATTTAGTTTGAACCCTTGTCATCATGTATGCATAAGTGAAAACATTAGAATAATGTCCTTATGATTACGTCATCTGAAAGGTAGTGTCTCCAAAACAAGCTCTTTCGGTCAACATGAAGGGGGGTTGGGGTGTCACTTAAACCAGCGATTGTATTTTCAAATTGCTTATTTATGAACTTTAATATCTAAGTGTCATTCTAGGGGACTTCTATCAATCTCAAACACACAACATATTTCCTGCATATTTTGTTTCCAGAAGTTTTTCATGCATTTATTGTAGATTTTGCGGTTTTGAGGGTACCAAGGAAAAGGTCAACCAAAATGGGGATCGTGAGACTGGAACATAGCAAAACAAAATTGTTTGTGCTTGACAGATAATATGTAGAAAAATAAAACATAAAAATAACTGCATTTGTATCGTTTTCTTGGTGATTCTACATACGTTTTGATCGCCCTCGTACATGAAGTTTTCTACAGTTATATATTAATTCTTGCACATTTATATAATGCGAAAGAGTATGGAAAATTAGGTACTTATTATACATAACAGTTACTACTATTGTCCCTAAATTCACTTTTTGTTAAGTGTCCAATTTGCATATTGGAGGTGTACTGCCGTGACACTTTTATATTTAATTCATATATAATATTTTTCACTACTTCTGTTTATGTTAAAGGACCAGGCTTGCCCAATACTGCAACAGAGGAAGAGGTCCAGGAGTGGCTATTACGCAGCGTGAAAGTACCTAAACAGTTGATTAAGGATGAAGTGAAATACGTAAATGGGGACATGCTCAATGAATACACAGATTCCAATGAAATGAGAGAAGAACTTGGACTTCCCATGGGACTTTGTAGGAAAATTCTATATTTGAACACCAAAGAATTTGATGATAAAACATTTGGATTGAGTAGGGAACAACTGGAATCCTTTACACCAAATCACATATGTGATTTTGCAAGAGATTCTTTTGCGGAAGACAAAAACCTCGGTAAGATTATTGAGGCTATTAAAACTGAACATATTGATGGTTTTGTAATAATGTTATATGAGAATCATGAAATGCTTGCTAAGGACTTGAATATTAAAAAGGTTTTAGGTAGGAAATTATTACTGTATGTAAAGAAGAGGATGAAGGATAGCTCAATGACTACCACAACAACAATGCACTTAAATGAAGCAAGTGACACACGACATATTCCATCCCTTGGTTTGAATCAGAGGAAGATTCCATCAGCAGCTGATACAACAAGAGAACCTTTCGCAGAACTACCTAGTCATACCCCTAATGCTTCTTCAAGTACTTCCTCACCAACTGTGGAAAGTCCTTCCATTACCTTCATACAGGAACACTTAGGATTAGATATTAAAGAATACGTTGGTGAAGATAATCCGAATGAGTACCAACTACTTGCAATTCACAGTTCCTGGGAACCAAGTCATGAACTGGCTCAAATGTTTTTATTCTGGATTTTATGCAAAGGAAACGACTTTGAGGACACGTCTAAGAGAAGGAAACTTTGGAGTTTGATTGTCCAGAATACATCGACTTGGTTACAAACTTTACCTGATAAAGTACAATCTGATTTCAAGAAAGGGAAAGGTGAATATCAATTTCAGTTCAAAGGACGAAAATCGATCCGTCTGAGCCAAGTTGGGGAAAAGATGATCAAATATGAAAACATAACTCTCAAACAAAGAGATCACTACAAAAATCATATTCTTATTTTGCCTGGAAGTACTGCTCCAGTCCAAGACCATGTGTATAGAATATATGATGGAAATTACCATTTGGAAGCTTCAATAAAGGATATCACAAACAAAATGTTTTGTATTGACGATACATTGACATGTATCAAACCTTTGAGTTTTGACCCCACTCCCTCAGAAGAAGGTGAACACCAAGAGAAGGATCTTGGTCTAACTTATTATGGTGAAATGAAGGAAAAGTATGGAATATCAACACATGTTTCTAAAACAACTGCTAATACAAAAGCCCAGGATGGAGTGTCATTTCAGAGACCAAGGCCATTTAAACTGGACAGTCTTTGCACAGTATATTTCAAGGATTATGTTATGGATGTGACAGAAAGTGGAAGTGGAATGATAACACCGTCCTTAGAATTCAAATACTTTCGATCAAGTCTTGATACTGGTAACGAAAACAGTCCAATAGAAAAATTTCTCACAGAGACTTTGCGTTTTGCCTGTGGTTGCCTTAACAGACGTCGAAATGGAACCATCTATTTTGGAATTGCTGATGAGAAACCTGTTGGTGGAATTACACGCAGGCATGGTCAGATAGTGGGGTTCCCCATCATAGAAGTTGACATTGACAGTAAAATAAAGTACGCAGATGAACTGAATGAGGCCAAATCAAAATGTTTTGACTCACCATTAGCAAACAGCGCTGCAAAGGAATGTATCAAAGCACCCGTTTTTGTGAAGGTTGCCCCTTCACCAGACCAGGTTCCATTGTTTGTTATGGAGGTTGACATAGAGCCTGATTCACGTTTTTGCGAAGGCATAATTTTCAAACTGGATTTATCGAAAATATGTGGGAAGAAACAGAGACCATTCCTGTTTGTTCGTGATGGACCCGAAACAAAAAAGATTGGTACTGATGCAGAAGAACTACACTTTGTAGACAAATTGAAGGAATGGGACAATAAGCGCAAATTTGAAGAAGAACGGTCAGTTGATAGACATTGGTCCGATCAAAATGATCACAAATATTTGGCTGAAAAACTCTGTCGTAAATTATGCAAAACTAGCAACCAAATTGATTCTTCACTCTGGCCAATTCTAATTTCTAGCAAGCCACCAGATGCATTAAAGTCATCACTGTTTACTTCTCTTAGTTTCATCTCAAGCATTCCTTGGTGTGCAGTTTTTGATTTTGATGAGGAATCGTTTAGAAATGGGATGTGCAAGCATTTTTTCAACAGTACACAAACAACTCTAACAAACGGAGACATATTCCGAGATGTTGAGAACAACAACATTTTGAGAGAACGATTAAAACTCCCAGAAAACAATGTGCTGATATTTTGCAATGGGCGATCTGACTTTCGAATGCCTCACCTCACAAAACATGAATGGAAAAAAGAATACTCCCCAAACGTTAAAGGAGCAATAAACTTTTTTCAGCAAAAATCAGTTATTCCACCTGGAAGAACTATTGCGGTGTTTTTACTCTTTGCAACGGATTTTCATGGTTTCTTGGATATCTTTGGAGAGATGACAACATTCTTTGGAAGTGAAAACATTGTACTTATTTGTGAAGAAATAGGCGTATTTCAAGAATTTCAACGCATGGCTTTAGTTCAAGAAATTGTCGAGAAAGAAGACATTGAACGGAATTGTGTTGTTGGCATGACGTGGGAGCAGACCAGTACTTCTATCAACAATCTAATAGGTGTTGACAAACAAACTGTAACATCTATACCAACCAGCAGTGGAGCACCTGTAACAGCTGAACTAAAATTTCTAGAAAGCATCGACAGTTTACAACTTTTGAGTTACTCACAATGCGAGGACAAAACATTTGAAAAACTATCTGATAGACAAACATTTAGTAGAATGAAGGAATTGAAGTTTTATCAAGGTAACAGGGTTGAGTGGTGGAATTTCTTTTTTGACGGACATGTCATGGAAAGACATTGCTTTCGTAGACTGAAATCTAAAGTTTTTGATGCCCTCAGTGGAGAAAAAGCAGACAAAATATCAAGAATTGTGCCTATATTTCTTCATCATGAACCGGGTGCAGGCGGTTCAACTTTAGTAAGGCATGTCCTTTGGGAGTTTCACAAGGAGTTCAGATGTGCAATCATCACAAAACTGGAGGAAAAGACTGCTTTAGACATACTTTCATTGTGGCGTTATAAAGAAAAGGACATCAAATACGCCAGACCTCTGTTGCTACTTATTGACTCAATAGTGGAGCAAAAGTTAGAGTTGCATGACATCCATCACCTCGTGACAAAAGAATCTTGGAAAGTTGATAGCCACATGAGATCCCCTATATGTGTTTTCCTCGTTTGCAAAAGAGATGAAACCCTAAATATGCCTCAGCGAACTCTACGACAAGAGGTATCTGAGAATGAATACCTGCTGCAGAAGGTAGAAGACGGTGAAAAAGACTGGTTGACCATGAAGATACAGCAACTAGAAGACACAAGCAGGGATTTGGGTCTCACACATTTCAAAGGAGAATATTTTATTTCCTTCATGATTCTACATTCAGACTTTAAACAGGATTTTCTCAGAGATACAATTCGCAGTTTGATGAGCCGAATGGAGTTTGAGGACAAGTCATTCAAGCTGCTGGCTTATGTTGCCCTTATCATATCATTTGTAAGTCCCCCAAATGGGGGTGCAGCCATAGCGATTCCTGTTGAATGTTGTAGTGAACATATGGGATTTAACTCCAGGATGAACAACCAGTCCAGAAATCTTTCCCTTTGGGAAAACCATCTTGAAGGCCCTTTAAAAATATTATTGATAATTGAAGCAAAAGAAAATGGCAGCGGAAAACAGATACGAATGGCTCATCAAAATCTGGCAAAAGCTGTGATAGAATGCATTCAATCTAAATATTTTAAGAATGATCTAGCCAGTATTGCTACTGCTTTCCTTGACTCAGATCTACTCAAAACTTCTTCCTTTGCCAAAAAATATTTACATCGGCTATGTGTTGAAATGCTCATACGACGAAAAAAGGAAGAATATGAAGATGGTGAAAATACAAAGTTCAGTCCACTTATTGAAAGCATTATTAGTGAAACTAAACTGTATTCAAAGGGTGCAAACGTTTTAGTTAAAGGATTTGAGCTGATGCAAGATGGTTTCATTGCTCATCAACTGGCACGTTTACATCTTCATCACAAAGAATACATTTTGGCCAAAGAGTGGGCACAAAAGGCAGTGGCACTGGATCCAAAGAGATCCACCTTCTTACACACGTTTGGATGTGTCTACAAACATCACTTTCTGAATCTGAAGTTGTGGGAATCAACAGATAAGAGAAAACCAGACGATCCCAGTACGACAGATGCATTAGATATGGCACTAGGTGCATTAGGCCATTTCCAAAACGCAAGCACGTGTGACAAATATGAGAAGAACCTCTTGGCATATTTCGATACTCTTTCAACAGTCAATTGCATTGCTAGATTTCTCTGTGAAATTGTTAACATTGGCACACCTGATGTTGTTCACAGATATTTGACTGAAGACAGTTACTCTCCAGAATCTACTGCATCCTGGGAAAACTACCATTCAAGACTTAAGGCTTTGTATGACACAGCCATGGGTGCAGTCGGTGTGTTAGATGAACATATTTACTACAGTCAATGTTCTTATGTGTCTAAATATAGCCATCAACAAAATGAAGAACACAGAAATTCGAGGATTATTAAGAAACGTCTTCCTGACTCCTTTCAGGATTTTGTAAAGTTCTTTTGCCAAAGAGAAAACACAAATGATCCACCATCCTATATCAGATCGGATGTACTCATGGACGGATGGCATAGAAGGTGTGTTGTGGCTCTGCATGGAAAGAGGCTGGTAGATGTCTTCAAAATTGCCTTCCCTAAAACTGAACAGATACACGAGAGTGTGCACTACAAGGGGAACGCTAAGAAAAATAGGAAAGGAGAAAAGCCTGTTCCCTCTGATAGCCTATGGAGGATTCAAACACATTTAAAGAGCATAAAAGATAAAAGTGCGGAAGACTGTTTGACTCTTATAGCTGTTAACCTTGCTCTGGCTGAACTAAAAGCTGCAAAGCAAACAAGTGTTTCAGAACTGTATGGGTATTGTCTTCAGATAATACGCACAGAAAGAAGAGGAATCGCGTTAAGCATGGCCTATCTTTATATTGTGATGTTTCTGTGGCCACAGGTGAAACAAGTAGTAGCATATGATCACACACTGATGAAGGAGGCTATGAAGTTCCTGTTTGATGAATTCAGAGCAACCAAACAGCGAAAACCAAGAGGTGAAAATGAGTTATTCAAACGAGAAAACAATATTTTTCAGAGCATTGCTCTATTCTATTTAGCTAAAGGTAGAGGTCTGTCATCATTTTCCTATCACCTCTCGCCCCTGTTCCTTAAAAGGAAACAACAAGAAGAAATGTGGGAAAGCAGCCAAGTTAGAGAAAAGCTACAGTTAGTACGAGGCTACACAAGACTAAAACCAAACAGTGGCACAATAAGTGTTATCGTGGACTTGAAAGACTTTGACATAGATGAAGAGCTAGAATTACGAAATTTCAAATGCAGGCGACCGGATATGACTGAGAGACCGATTTCATTCTACCTGGGATTTTCATTGTCTGGCCCTGTCGTGTGTTACATATGCCCTGAAGAAACGTCTATGGATCAATGGCAACTTGCTTCAGCCTATGTCGATTATTCCGTATTCCCAGAGGAAAAGCTTCGGCAGTTGCTGAAAGACATAGAGAAAATCAAGGCAAAAAGAATCCGGCGCTCAGAGGAGGTAAATATGCACTCCATTTACTAATTAACAATATCATTATTGTTAATACATCCTTCATAAAAGATATACATTCACTATGTGTGATATCATTATGAGAAACTATATTTTTGGAGAGAGATGAGATAGTTTTATGAACTTTTATTAAACTCTGTGTTGGACGTGTGAATCTACATATGCTGTGATATGTATATGTGGCATCGTATCCCTCCTAATTTCAGACAGACCTCTTGAAGGACGAAGCAGCAATCAATGAAGCACTATTTAGATATGAATCGGAAGAAGCCATCATTGACTAAAACCTGTGACATATAAAACGCCTGGATGATATGAAAAACAGGTTTTGTACTTAATTCCAAGAGTGTGCAGTTTGGTGAGTGAGTGTCTTTAATTCCTCCCTGATAAATAGGAGATATAATGAGGTGAGGCTGGAAAATGTTTGAGTTAATGAGGTGAAAGGGAGAGTTTATGTCTGATGATGTCCAAAATGTCCAACCTTGATCGCAAGTGACTTGTTGTCAAAGTGAAGTTCATGTCCACCAAGGAGAGCTAGAGTTTGACTCTCAGGGTCCATAGTGTCCAGTGTCACATATGTGTCAGGTCTAAAGACGCCAAGTACGGACTTCCACATGATCTCTCTGCTCAAGAGAACAGATGTAGGGCCAGGTTGTCCAGAGTCACAGTGAGGACACCAGCTTGCAACTATGGGTGTGGCAATCAGGCGAAGCAAGCGGTAGTATTCACTTCTGTGTTTTGGGTCGTACTTGCTGAGGACCCACAGATAGTGGGGAGAGAAGTAGCTGTGTAGCTGCGAGAACACGTGCAGGTCAGGGTCGTCGTTAAGTCTATGTCTCGGCGAGTTGGCTTCAAATGTTAGCACTGCTTCCTTAGCGCGATGTTTCCAGGAATGTTTAGAAACTCTCAGACCGTTGTATGCAGAGTTCAGAAGGTTAGAGATATCGTAATGTCCACAGCCGCGCTGATCTGTGTTGTTCAGGTGGCAGATGGAGAATCGAAAGAGGACAACAGCTTTAACTGTGCACGGACTTGGATAAGTAACATTTCGGCCAAAGAGGATGATCTAACTGATTCATTCTTGAGACCAATGTGCGACATGTCATCATTCATTGTTAACGAAGAGACAATGGATGAAAACCAAAACTGTTGTATTGTTAAAATATGTTAGTCAATTATGCATAATATTTTGAAAACGACTTGATAATGAGTAAGTGAAATTCGAAAAACTCGTCAGAACTACCGTTTGTGAGCGTTTATTTTCGCAGTCAAAAAATATCATGCACTATGACAATTATTATTGACAGTGACATTTTGTAATTTAACAAACATTTGGTGTTTATAGATTATCAATTAATATGGGTTTAAACAAACAAGGGCAATGTGTTTATTGCAAGTATATTATCAGTTGTTTTTTGTGTATATCATAGAATTATAGTCATCGACCTCACACAAAGTTAATGCATTCGGTGTCACTATTCCTCTCAAAATCATTGAGAGATGACAGTGTTTAGAGTACATTTCGAAAGTGCTCAGTGTAATCATTATTGATATTGTGTTTGCGATAACATCTATAACATCATCATTACTTCGTTATGTAATGTCTTTCTCTTATTGAAAATATAAATACTCTGATTCCATTATTGTCAGAGCATCTTGTCTTTAAGTGTCCAATATCAAGAACATTTGTTTCTTAAAGAGCTTAAAGATGTTTTCGCCATGAAGTACAGTAGCAGCCTAATGCAGTGTCCTACTGGTGTAGAACAATGTAAAGAATTTTCATTAAAAGCAATTTGTAGACAATCACTATTTCACACACACACACACACACACATATACAGGGAATGTGTGAAACCACGGATTTCACGTAATCCCTAAAAGAGTCAGTGATTTCATGAAATCCCTGTTACCCCCAGGGATTTCATGTATTTCTTAAAATTTCCAGGCATTTCATGAAATTACTGAAATATTAGCTCAGGGATTTCATGAAATCCCTGTAAGCCTTTATTGAAAAAGAGAACACCAAATTTATAATGCGAGTACAGAGTATATGCGGATAAAATTTATTTGTTTGGACAAGATAGACTGTTATGATACAAGCTATTACACTTCAGTAGCACTTTAAACATTTACAACGTATAGATTTACATTGGTTAGGATCACAGTTACATTTCTGGAAACCCTGACCACCACAATTCGACTCGAAAATCACAGCTGCGTGGAGAAACAGTTCTTTGTCCATTGCCACAACATTCGTAGAGTGAAGACGCTGAGGACAAACACGAAATATGTGCTTTGACAAAATACCTTTTCCTTCTCAATGGCCTAATCTGTTTATGCTTAAACGTCTATTTTGAATAAAGAAAAGCATTTTTTTTTTAAAACCTCGCTAAATTTTTAAATGCTATTTCACAGTAAAATGTTGAGCCTTTCCGTACGGAATTATGAGAGACACCTGTGCCACAATATACAGAGTATAATATAAGAATATTAAAAAATGCAATGAAAAGGGTACAAGTTACATTAAGAAGATATATACAAATTTGTAGTACGCTTTTAAAGAATATTGAGGCAGGTTTGGGCGGATAAAAACGACACACCTGGACAAACTAGAAATAAAGATTAACTCTTTCAACATACACAGATTGAAAAGACTTGTACATTAGATAAAAGTTACAATCCCTCATCAGCATACAAAAGACAATGCAATAAAACATGACACTCATCTTCAATAAAATCTTTACAGTAAAAGCAAATTCTTTCAGTTTCGATTCTAAGCGAAATCGCTAAAAACAACCTCTGTAACTTTTGAAACTACAAAAGGAATATTGATACTCAACGTTGATATCCTTATATCAACACCCAACGACAAATTATTAATCATAACAATAAGATGCACTAGCAAGTGTGATGCCGCGATTTCAACACAATTAGTGCCAGTTAAATTAGGAAGCATCCAGGAAATGTGCCAACAAGATTAGTGCCAGTTGAAATAGGATTAACAGGATTAAGTACTTTCCCTGCCTGGTCATTTAAGTTGTTCTTGTAGGACACATCCCATTCTGCATAATCTGTATTTCATTGGTTATTGTAGGTTACACCCATTTTTGTATCAGTCAACGAATCATAACCTCTTCCTTGTTTCAAATTTAGATATATTGTAACAAACTCCAATTATTTGTCAGTAGGGTTTAGACTCCCAACACAGGTCAGCTCAAGCCCCCAGCCCAGAGGGTTGTACCGACTCTCTGTGGCCACCCCATGTTATTCCATTCTTGTAAATAAAATTGTGATTAGATTCTTGTGACTTCGGACTCTTTGCTGAGTCAATTCCCCTAAGCAGACCAGCACGCGAGTTAGATAAGGGGTTTCACCAGAACCCTCACTTGGACCCAAGACCCTTATCATAATATTATAAAAGATAATCTATACAGATGTCATTTGTCAAAGCATCAGCTGGAATATTATCGAAACCCGGTGATTTCCCTCTCTTAGCTTGACATAGTGTCATCAGTAAATAGTAAAGTTTTCAACTCCTAAGACCTAAGGGATGAAATGAGACTCAACAGTAAAGTCGTAAGTAAATCAACTTGCTACCCCGACTCAAGGTAGTAATTAGCCAAAAAGGTCATCGGTAAATTGTCAAAGTTTTCAACTCCTAAGACCTAAGGGATCAAATGAGACTCAACAGTAAAGTTTTAAACTACAAACATTAATTTCACACATTCACTGATATCCTAACAGGGAATGTGTGTAATGAGACACCATGAAAATCAGTAATTTCATGAAATCCCTTGAAATTTTAGGGAATACATGAAATCCCTGGGAGTCACAGTGATTTCACGAAATCACTGAATCTTTTAGGGATTACGTGAAATCCCTGGTTTCACACATTCCCTGTAATATATACACACATATACACAGACGCAAGTGTTTACGCGTGACATATACACTATCAAGTACAACAGTATCCCAGTGAGGTATATATTAGCAAGAACATGTGCATCTTAGTGAACTATCTATCATCAAAAACCTGTTTATCATTTTCAAGAACATTGATCCTGTTTCCTTACGATGTAGCTTGTTATTGAAACAAAAAGAAGTGTTTTGAAATAACCAATCATTGGCGTGCCATTTGACACAGGCCCCAGGTTATGGCGGTAACAAAGACATACAAAATGCTAAATAAAACGAAACAGGTAATCGTTGTTTATCACAAAGTTCTTACAGATTACACACACTCGAGATTTGATATATATTACATAATAAGAACACGATCATCATAACAAACTAAAACAGGGTTTAAGGATGATTTTGAAATCAACTCCTTGTTTGGATGAAAGATTTAAGTTTATCAGTTTGTTTCAACATCTGATAGAAAGGAAAAAGTCGACCAGGGTGTAGGTGTAGTCAAATGTTATCTAGGTCAGTCAAAAATGTATGTGATACATTCAGAAACATATTTGGATATAAACTGTTAAGTTTGCTAATAAGCAGTTCTGAAATAAGTTCTGAAGTTATTTAACAGAGATCTGAGTATAAACATTTAATGTTGTCATTGTTGGCTTGGTTTGAAAATAGTTACAGTTTTGGTGACCGCCTACGTGGTGTAGTGGTTTGAGCGTCCGCCCGGAGAGCGGAAGGTCGCGGGTTCGATCCCCGGCTGCGTCAAACCAAAAGACGTTAAAATATGGTACTTGTTCGTCCCTGCCTGGTGCTGGGCATGAATGGGTAAAACAAGGATTGGTCGGCCCTGACTCAGTATAATGTGTCTGGGTGGGGTATTCATGCTTAACTGCAGCATGGTATCTCAGTGAGCTAGCACTAAAAACCCACGACATTAAACCACATTTCATCTCCCTCACCTCAGTTTTGTTGAGTGTTAAGTCAAAGACAAAATACTTCGTATTTTATGCTTATTTTGTCTCTGTAGTACTGTTCGTGTTCTCGTAGAGGACCAACCAGACCTACATAGTCATTTACTGGCATTGATTCATGAGGTTTGTGGCTTCCACCATAGGACAAAATTCATTGCGCAAAAAAATTCAAAAACTTTCAACAATCATTGCACAAGGCTTCATTTTATTTGGATAGCCTTTAAGCTACATAGACTATGGACTATAGAATGTTACATATTATTCCCACTAAGTGGGAAACATAACTGACTGATGACTGGTGACTAATTCTTATCTTGGCCTTCAGATGTGATTTTACAAATTGTCAAAAGGTTCAAAACTCTTTAATGAAAAACTTAATTTTCTCAAGTGTTATTCAACTATTTGTA